CAGATGAGTTTTTCTCAGGCTGTGATGATGATTTGCTATGAGACTTTAAACTTTGCTTTGGAGTCTTCAGATTTTCTGTGCAATGGGAATTGGAGTTCCAGAGGGACACTCTGAAGCTGTGAATGAAAGGACTAAGATTGTCATCAGTGAGTTGCAAAGACCAACAATTAGCTGGCCCAATTGTTCACAAGATGTGTGGCAGCCCAGCTCTCCTGCAGACCAGGCACCTTTGCCATGCTGGGACAGTGGGCCTGGCCTTGTGCAAGACCTTTACTTCCTTCCCCTGACTGCTGAAATCAGGGCTGAGCAGGCAGGAGTCATCAGAATTTGTGTTTTCAGTGACAGCTCAGGCAAAGCTCAGGAGTTAGACACAGGCTTTTGTTTTGAAAAAGGCAAATTAAAGTTTTTTCTCAACACCTCTACCTCAAGATTTCCTCTATTCATATATATTTCCCAAAGCTTTTAGGATAGGCCAGGGCATTTGGGCCCATTGTTGGATATCGGGATATAACCTGTGCTCAGCTTGATCTAAGTTTAGGGTGAAGAGACAATTGTGCTTTTTAAATATGAGGCACAGAATAAGCCTATCAGGACAGAGAGATAACACCACAAATGTTATTCTTCTGTTAGCAAAGTTCTGCATTTGCATAATAAAATGATAAATACACTGATGAACTTAACCACAGCTCAGCCAACCCACTGCAGACCCACCAGCAGCTCTTCACCCCGCTCACCCCTCAGGCTGGAGAGGGCAGGATGTTGTTAGGATCCCCTGCACTGGGGTTCACATCATCTCAGGAAGCATTTTCACTGGTGTTCATTCATTAGAGGCAGTTTCTTTGTCAGGGGCACTGAGAAAATGGCAGCAAGGGTGGCTGGACTGACATGGCAGGTTTCCTCCCCTCAGCTGCCGGATGAGCGCGACTCAGTGTCTGAAACACGAGTGGCTGAACGACCTTCCTGCCAAGGCCAAGAAGTCCAAGCTGCGCCTGAAGTCCCAGTTGTTGCTGCAGAGTTACATGGCTCAGAGGAAATGGAAGGTGAGGAGACAGAGTCTGGCAAATCTACTTCCAGAGGGAAAATCAGCTCAGCACGGGCAGAGCCATTCCCTCCCTTTGTGTGTCGGCTCACTTGTGCCCACAGGCTTCTTTATTGTAAATATGAGTTGAGAAGTCTATTTGCATTTGTAAATTAAGTATTTTGTCCTGCAGAAGGGTATTGCTTCTATTTTTAGCACATTTGGTTTCAATTTTCACTATTTCTGATTGGTGTTTAGGAGTTTTACTTTTTTTTTTTCCTGCAGGTTCAGAGGCCTCGGGTGCTACTTAGCTTATATTAAATGTTCTTTCTCGTTATACTTTTTCCACTGACAGTAGTTGCATTCATCTGTTGTCAGTATTGAGTAGAGTTACAACATAAGGCAGTTTGTGCCTTCCAGAGTAGAAGTGTGGGAGAGAGAAAAAAAAATTAGACTTAAACGCATTCAGAGAATTCTTCAAAATCTTTCTGATAACCCCAAGCTCCTTCTGAACTACATTTTTATGAAGAAGTGATAGGTAATAATCTGTGTTGGACTCTCTATTAGATTGTAGATAATTGATCTAATGATTTAATTTATTTGTTTGGTTTTGATTATTTATTTCTTTATTATCTTATTTAATTATTTGATTCATCTATTATTTAATTGAAAGATGAATATAGTGATCTTGTTAGAAAGAAGCCTGTGGAAATGGAAGGCAAGCTCGGTGAGGACCATTTCCTTCTCTTTTTGCCACTGGGGAGTTGCCATTCCTTGCCAAGGAGTTAAACCAGAGGATTACACTTTTTCCAGTCCCACACTTCAGCTGTTTGGTAACAAACTTCTGCACTTGCATTTTAAAAAATACATAACCTAAAGACCTTTCACTGTACAATTCATAATAGCACTGCAGACCTTCACAGTACCAGCAGAACCAGTGGTTCAGCACTGCAAAACACACCAGGTGTGGGTCACTAGAGGGAAATGGATTTACCAGGGAGAAAAATCCGTGTCAGCTGCAGAGAAGGTCCTTGCACTCACACTTGGACTGTTCTGTTCTGTTCACAGAAACATTTTTATGTGGTGGCTGCTGCTAACAGGCTGAAGAGACTTCAGAGTATGTCTGTCAAGCTTGCATAAGGTTGTGTGAAGCATCCACCACTCTTGGAGATGGACACGAAGCCATGAAAGAAGGACTCATATCTTCAATAATTTCTACCCCTGTTTTATAACATAAGGTTTTGGGACTGTCCTCCTCAATTATTTTGTGTGTTAGTGCTAAGGTGCCAGAAGTGCCTCAAGGAAGAGGCACTGAAATAATGATTTCTAAAAGCAGAAGCTACTTTGTTTTTTCAAGTTTTGAGTTGTTGTAAGTAGTGGTGGAAAAACGTGGCTGTCACTGGGGCTGACTTCTTGCTGAAGGCTTTGATTCTGCAGAGTGGTGTTTACACCACAAAACCCCTGGTCAGTTTTCTGGTTTCTCACACCAAGCATGGGATCTCTGAAGACTTTCTTACTGAGTGGTGTATGTTATTTTTAGAGAATTGCTACAACAGTGGCACAACTTCTTTGTCAGGTGCTTGTTATTTAGAACAAGATAACTGATACCCTTTTCTTCTGCATTTCTTTCAGAAAGATTATTTCCCCCTCCCCAACATGATAGGTTTGAGTGGTTTTGGTTGTTTTGTTGTTGTTGTTGTTTTTAATCTACTCTCTCCTTTAGAAAAATAATCACTGCATAGTTAGGAACTATGAGGAATCCTGGTTTGAAGCAATTTAAGTTAGTCCATTGCTGCTGTTTCTTATGGCAAGTGGAATTGAGCTGAACTGATTGAACTTCTGGAAGGACATATGTGAAACTGCCACAAATACAAATCATGTAATGACCACTGGGTCTGTGCAAGAAGATCTCATGCTGTACAGAAGAGATTTCCAGACACAGTTTTGTATATATTTAAAACTTTTAAGTGCTTCTCATTGGCTGTGACTGCAGCCCTTAAGTTTATAAGTTTTAGTTTGAGGATTTTTTTCTCCTCTCTGAAAATTTTAATGAAGCCTGAGAAGCTGATATGCAGTGACATGCAAAATAGGTTTTATTTCTAATAGGTTCAGTGACAGGGATGTGTTGTCAGACTCTGCCTTTACTCCAGTTAGGAGGTTGAAGCCCTTTTTTTCTCTCCCCACTTTGCTCTTGAACATTAAGTGTTTTCTTCACAGTACTAACTTATTTTGGATTTTAAACTTTTTTTTTCTGATGTATAGAGTGGGAGCCACTTAAAATCTCTCAGATAGAAGTATAACATTATTTATTAAACCTGTGGTTTCCTGTTGTAGATTCTGCAAAACTCAGTGTGAGCTGGATGGTTTCTTAGGAGAAATGGAAACTAATACTATTAAAACTATCTTCCAGCAAAGGCATCTGTAAAGCTTCCTTGAACTTTATGGAATTTCACATCCCTTGAATTAGCAGAAGTAGTGTTTGTTGCTAATAAAGAGGTTTGTAAGACTGGCTTGTCCCAGTCTAGTTATCTTTTCCTCTCAGCTGCTTCTCACTTTGTACAGTCCCGACTTCTGCAGCATTTCCAGAACTGGGACAAAGAAGAATTATTAAACCCAAGTCAAACAATCTTGAGAATTTATCACCTTCTATGAAGGTCCACTTTTGTTCATGTTTTCCTTCCACAGCAGTTCTGCATATTAAATGTGATTATATTCATTGGTCTGTATATTTCTGAATTAATACTAATAAATTTCATGAAAGTGGAACAAGCCTATATTCATCAGTTTTGGTTTAAACCCCACTGCCAAACCAACCTGAAAGCATCTCTTTGTAGGTTTTAAAAATGGAATGCTATTGGATGGGATTCTCTCCTCATGTCAGACATTTTGTCACAGCTCTTATTCTTTGTAGGTAATTATCCTTTATTTTCTCTGCACGTCAAGAATTTGAGTCCATTCCCTAATGTCACCTGGAATGAAGTTAGCTCTTGCTAATTAAAGTTGGCTTCAAGCAATCTCCTTTTTTAAATGCATTGGGAAAAGTGAAAGTGGCCAGGAAGTTTAAATTTTCCAATTAGTATGTGCTGCTTCCAAGAAGGTAACACAGAGATGCTCTGTGCTGTCTTGTACGTATTTCCGCTCTATTTTCTACAAAGAGAAGGTGCCTCTGGCCAGCAGGATGACTATTCTGTTTCTAACAGAAAGGAATCCCTTTAGATTGGGCAGCCATCCCCTGGTTCTGCAGTACAGTGGGTCCCACCTCTGCAGCCTGAGGGGATGTTTTCACCACATCCTGTGCATTTTGCTTTGGGATCTACAGAAAGCTTAAGGGATGAACCACAGGTGACCTGTGAGTCACTGGAACAGTACATGACAAAAAAACCCTGGCCCCACTGATATCTAATTAATTATACCAACTATTGTAATCTTGGTGTGATCATGTCTCGTGTGAGCAGGGAGTGTGCACAGGAGGGAGACATTTGGCAGGGCATTAAAATACTTTTAAGAAGCTCAGGTGGGTGCAGTGTTTCAAATCTAAATGCTCAGACTTAAGATAATTTATCTTGTTTCATATGGACACTTGGGGCTTTTGGGTTTCTTTTGAAATGAGTGTTTATGAAAGTTAACTTCTCTTTGTACATCCCAGCCAGAAAACATGCAACAGAAATGGAACAAACAATTGGTTTTGTTACAGTTACATCAGGCCTGCACTGCTAAAAGTAATGATTTTTCCTCAAAAAGTAGTAATAGCAAATTACAATTTGAGTAGGTGGGATGACAGTGTAGCATCACAGATGTTGCCTCCACAAACTACTCTCTCCTCTAAGTTTATGACTGTGAGACATAAAAAACCCCTGTTACCCAGTCAAGACCCTTGTCACCTGGATATCTTCCCTCTAAAAACACAGGCACCTCCTGTGAGTCTTTTACTTTGTGTTTTAAGTCATGTGCCAAGAACATGATGTCACAATACAAAGCTTTTCCTTCCAGTACTTTTATTGTTTCTTGCAATATTTGGGACCCCTTTATAAAAGCACAAGAGACTTCATTCCCATACACATGAAAATAAGTCAAATTCAGTTACTAAACAGTATTTCTTCAACAGTAAAAAAATAAAAGCAATTTAAAAAAAAAAAAATCTTAACTTCTCTGCTAGCTTTGCAGTTTAACAAGGCACCATTAGTCCCCTCCCTCTTATTTCACTTACTGCTTCCAGCCAGGGGCTCAAGGGCCTGTAACTTATAACTTATTTACACTTAAAGTAGCATTAGAATGTAGCATTAGAATGTTCCCTGCTTCTTGCAGCAAGAGAATGAAGCTATTTTACCCCCTTAATGCCAAAGCTGCTCAGGTACCAGCCACGTGAGTAGTCAAAGACAGGCCTCCTGTAAAATCACCTCAATCCTAGTGTCATTTTATTAAAAATAAGTCTTCAATACTTAAAAGCTAAATAAGGTAGCTGGCTACCAGGCAGCCATCACTCATGCTACTGGAACTACTGTTAGAGCATAGGGAGAGTTAAGATTAAGAGCAAGCAGCAGTTGCATTACTGGGTGGCATTACAGAGGCAGTACTATTTGTCTCTCGTGCCTTAGCAGCATTTTCCAGGATTTTCTTTTTCCATTCTTCATAGTCCTGCTTTGTTTCAGTCTTTGGCCGTTTATGTGGCTTCTCCTCATCATCTTCAGATCCTGGGAGGGAACAAGAAAGTCCATGACAGGCCATCATGGGCCACGTGTTGGTGGGAATAACTGTGGCAGTGAGCACAAATACAGGCAGGGAGTCTGTCCCTGTGTTATCTAATCCCATGGTTTGCTGCTCCTCTCACCTGCTGGAACAGTCTCCTCTTCACCTTTGTGTCTGAACAGCACAGTTATCCTTAATTCTACTAGGATTACTCAGTATAAACTCCATTATCCTTCTGCCAGGTTCTCTCCATCCTTCCATAGCCAATGGATGGAGGGTGGAGTGAGCTGCTGTGAACCTGAGATTAGGGCCTATCCCACAACTAAAATACTGACCAGCAATAAAGCTCAGGACTACTCTGGTAAGGTGATTTTCATTCCTAACTGAGCACAACTTACCATCTTCCTGCTCACAGTGCTCCAGGCAGGTCTGCAGGCTTTCAGGTGTCTCTGCAGCCAGTGGAACATCTTCTTCTAAAAAAAATAAGTAAGTTGCTTTACTTCTGAGTGGTGTTTGGGGCCCCAAGGGTGGCCTACATGTAATTCCTAGATAGCAGTGCCACCTTCCAAAAATAATGTCACCCAGTCAGAGCAGGTCCAGACTGATGCTCAAGCTCTACATGCAGAGGTGCCAGCACACTTGAAGGGTTGCATGGACTGACTGAATGCTTTAATTAGGTTGCTAATTAGCAGCAAACTGCTGCTGCATTTGTATCCACAATGATCCACCATGTTCATTGCCCAAAATCTACCCCTCTAGATTACTCTGGCGGGATTATCAGTTATTTTTTCCCCTTCTATTCCATTTCCACAGTTTGTATTATAGATACCCATGACATGCACAGGGCTGTCCATGTGTACAGATACATGATCTTCCCTGCACTGGTACAGAAACTCCCAGCTGCCTTTAGCTGCTTTAGTGGTGGGGTAAGGTTTGGGGTTTTATAGGGCACTGTACTGTGGGAAGGTCCGTGCCTGGGAGAGAGCAGCAGCTTTTGGTTTAGTTTCAGGCAGCATGTTCCACAAAACTTGAGGATATGAAGCATGAAGATAGGGTGAAGAAGGGTTACTCTCAGTGGGAAAGTCAGAGTGAAAGCCTGGGAAAGGAAAAAAGAAGAGAAGTAAGAAGCAGCAGATATAAGGACAGGAGGGTGTGGATCATATTTTAGTCTTTTTCCTCCAAACAAAAGGAGTGGAGAGAACTGCAAGCTTAACCACAGGTAAGAATGGTTCCTCAGGTCTGCTCACTGTATGTGGAGAGATGGTGTCATGGAATGGCTCAGTTATTACCAGAAGAGCAAAGCTTATGCTTGTTAATGCTGCAGTGGGGAAAGGAAAGCACAGAAGTGAGTCAGTCAGAGCATGATGTTTGTGTTAATATGTGTCATGTTGCCATGTTAACCAGATGCAGAAAGCAAGAAGGAGGAATCCAAGATGGGTCAGGTAGTATGGGAGAAGCAGGGAAGAAATTGCAGCAGCAGACACTGTAAGGAGCAGAAAAGAGAGGAAAATACTTATTTTTGGCCTTTCTGCATGCTAAGCTATTGTGACTTCCCCAGAAACAATGACTGTGAGTGGGAACTGGGCTGCAGGAAACATGATGAAATGGATTGGGCAGATGTGGCTGAAAGGGGACAGCTAGAAGTGATCAGAATGAAATCATCAGTGGAATAGGATGGGGAACTGTGAGGCCATGGGATGGGTGTGCTGTCTTACAGGGATAAAGGCAAAGACTTACTCCCGAGGTGCTGGCTTATCTTCTCCAGCTGATTGCACAGCCGGTCAAATATTGCTCTTTTCACTCCAGATGTAGCCACCATTTTAGTTTTGTCCACTTTTAGCTTCAAACACCTACAAGAGAGAGTTGTTACCTCTGTAGAAAGCAACACTTCAGCAACTATCACTTATGTGAGGTGATAATTGCTGTACCAACACTGCCTGTGAGAATGAGAAAGGCAGGCCTGTGTTTTTGTCCTACCTATCCTTGTCTCACTCAGAAATTTGCTTAAAAAAACAGACCCCTACAGTACTCAGTCAATACAGCTCAGGAATTGAAACTCAGGGTGAGTTCAAGTTACATAAGGAAATTGTATTAGGAAAAAGTATTTTTCAAATTTTCAGGGAATCAGGACAAAGTCCCACTACTGCAAAAAGCTGAATGAGACTCCTGTGTCAAAAGAACTTTTTTCAGGAGCTGTGCAGCTACACAGTCCCTGCACTGCTAAGGTTACAAGGTGTAATGCTGAGGAAGATCGTTGCCCACAAGCAAATTCTTGCCAGTGTTGGCTGAGTCACACAGCTCTTCCTGATCCGGGCCTACAGCTATCAGAGCCATCTCCAAAGGCCAGAGCACCCTGAGGATGTGATGGTGTAGGCTCAGGGCTTTTCCTTCTCCAGAACAGCTGTTTCTCGGTGCTCAGAAGTGAGCTGGCGACCATTCTTACACCTTGAGCAGTATTTCACCAAAATCCATATAACCTTCTGCTTTGTGTAATGTAGGTTGGAGACTTCACTGCAAAGAAAGACCTGGTTTGCTACAGCTGTCCCTATTTTCAGGAGCAGGGTAGCAGCATATGCTAAGCAGGACCCTAGATGAAGCAGCTGCTTAGATTGTTCAGTGTGTCACCAGGCATTTCAGCCTGCAGAAGATCCCCCAGCTACACTCACCTGCATGCAGTGAATAGTGAAGCTGTTAAAAAGAGTGGTTTTGAGAAATCAAGGTCCATCCTCTGTGCTTCAGAAAGGCTGGATTCATACCTAGAGAACAGCAAGGGATAACTGGACACTGCATTTGCCTCAAATGAAGCTGCTGAAATACATCTGTCATGTGGGACTCAGCAGTTGAATGGGTCTGATGGACCACTTGGTCCTTGGCAACCCAGTCAAGCAGAAACAGCTGCTACTGGCTGAGAAGAGCAAAAGAGACCAGGAAAAAGAAGGGGATTGGGATGACCTCCTCTTTTTGAATTAAAGGTATTTTAAATTGGGGATCTGGATGGAGGCATGTCAGTAAAATCTGTTTCTTGTGCTCCCCATCCACACAGTACTTTTAGCTCTACACTACACCCAAAAATTAGAACGAGATGCTTTGCATAAATCCATGCTACAAGAGAGGGCAGCATTATAGTTTCTTGTATGCTGCAC